TTGCTGTTAGCATTAGCGCATCTTTACCAAAATTGCTTTATGTTAATACGAAACGTAATTAGATGTATACACAATACTAACGACATGTGAGAATTTTATGTATAGACATTTCTAGCGTTCAAAATTCTTTAAAAACGCAACAGTTGTTTTTCTGTGATTGTCAGTTCGAGCTGGGAGCGATTTTAACTGTTTATGGGTCCTGTGATACAGCAACGTCGTGCGCTGAAATTTCGAGCGGGGCGGATGGCCGTAGTCTGTCATTACACTCTGTTCCAAGCGACCAGCTGTGGCAACTTCTGTTTCTTGGAATTCGTAATGCGGTTTTTCTGAAAGAAATGCGTTAACCGTAGCAACGACTCATCGCTGTAAGGGAAGATTCACGTTCATCGACCCATGGAATGGAAAGATTAAAAAATGTATAACTGTTCAAAAACTTTGATTCACGATGTATTTCAAAGCCCCATTCTCTTCATTGCCTCGGATATAAACAGAATAACTGCTTCATGGCCTTTGAACACTAACAGTGCTTGGCTCATTTCGCATCATTTTATTTGCCACAATAATCTCACCTTGAGAAAAATGTTTCACGGGCTGTTACTCTATATATGTTATAACTTTACAGGCTTTTCACAGTTTCGGTAATTTCATCTACAGAAAGACTAACACTTTTTGTCTGCTGCTGTTCAGCCGAGTCTTCCTGCGGTTGCTCCTTGTTGTGGAGTTCCTCAAAGTACTCTTTCTATCACCGAAGAATATTCATCCTAGATAAGGTGTTCAGACTTGTCCTTCAGAATTTTTATACTGACACTTTTTCCATTTCTTACGTGGCGGATGGCTTCCTAGAATATCTTGTTTGGTGTCTGGAAATTTAACTCCAGCACCTCACTGAACTTTCCCCCAGAAGCGGCGTTCGCTTCACCGCTGTTTTGGCTGTCGCCTTGCGCACTTCTTTGTAATGCATTCGAGATGAATTCTCTTTGCTTCCAAGTCAGCTCTTGAATGCAGCTTTCTTGTCGTTGAAAACCAGTTCAGCTACCTGCCTCCACCAAGAAGTTGGTTTCTGACCTACAGGCGGCAAATCACTCCGTTTTAAACTACCACATTCGGCGGCATTTTCGAGTAGGCCCCTTTAGGAAAGCTTCCATTCATTTTTCATTACTGTATGATCTGTTCAAACGGCCCTGTTTTGTTGTTTGCCATGTTTTGTCTCTGTACTGCACAAGATTATGTTTTCTGTTTGATTCTCTGGCTACTTCTGCTACCAGATCTTCGTATAGTACTCCATTTCTTACAGCGTAGTGTGTCAATAATAAGCTGATGATCGGTTGACAGCTTCATGCCTCTCTTAATGCGAACATCCATTACAGAGCATCTTAAGTCAAACGATACGATTATTAAATCGATTATCGACTTTTGTGTACAAGCTTCTCTGTACCAGGTATTTTGATGCACGTTTCGATACTTGAATAAGGTGTTCATAATAAACAGTAAGTTATTTGAAAAAAAGTCGCAAAAATTTCTCCAGAAATCGCTATGGCTGTTCTTTCCAATCACGCCTTTCCACTTTTCAGTGCCTCCTCCGAAATGGGCATTGAAATCGCCCATGAGAACGAGGGACTGTAGTCGGCACTTCTTACAGAGCACACTGCACTTCCTGAAGGAGGAATCATATTCTCCCTCTCAGTTG